CCCGATGCGGGGCTCGATCCCAGGACCCTGGGATCATGACCTGAGCCGAAGGCAGACGCTTAACGACTGAGCCACCCAGGCGCCCCAGAAATAATTATGATTATTAAATTATTATTACTCAAAGGATTGTATTATATAAACCTCCAAATTCACCAACCTAATTAAATGGCCTGTGCAATTTAAAAACTTCAAACTAAAGTATACCTTAGAGCTACTTAGAAGACTCATATACAGTAGTCTTCCCTTATCTACAGTGTCACTTTCTCTGGTCAAACACGGGATGTGAATCACATCACTTTACCCAGCATATCCACGCAGTATCCATTTGCCTGTTACATATCATAGGTTTGTACATATAGGAAAACATAGTATATACACGGTTTGGTACTATCTGCAGTTTCAGGCATCCACTGGAGGTCTTGGAACGTATCCCCCATGGATAAAGGGGGACTACTGTATTACAAAGACAAAACTACTTTTAGTTTATCTTTTCATCAGAAGGATTTAAAAACATACACAAATCTCATCTCTGCTTGTTAAAGAACACAGTAATTCTTTATTTACATATAAAATATGTATCTAAAAATATAAGGGAAAACCAATTACATATTAACTAGGATCATATTTGTTGCTACTGGAAAAATTCTATTAGAATTAGAATTAGTCTATTCTATTAGAAATAACAATTTCTGTTTTTCACATATGACAAGTATGTTAAAACATCACAAAGCTCACCCCCCCGCCTGGGATTAAAGTTTAGCTTTATATTTTATATGAACAATAACATTTATTGTGCACTTATAATACCAGCGATTATGCTAAATCCTTCACATGCAACATCTCATTTAATACTGCTATCCCCATTTTACATGAGGAAACTAAGGCTCAGAATGGTTAAGCAACTTTCTGAGGTCATACAGATTATAGGTGGAAGAATTAAGATTTAAACCAAGATTTACATGTCTCCAAATCCCATGCTTAAACACCCTACATACTGTCTCACTTACTACCATATTTTCATACGCTAGAAGCAATAAGAAAGCCAGGGACTTAATTAAACTAACCAAAGTTTATCCTTTACACAAGATCTTTATACAGAGCTACTTTGTTAGCGTCCTAATGGTTCCTTGCAATAAGCATCAGGCTATGTTCAGTCCAGTGTTCCTGGTGGTTTCTTTTATGTCTCACTTGCCAAGACTTAACCTAGGCAATAAAAGACCATGTTCACTTTCAACACTCACTATCTTCTTTTGGGGCGGAGCGGCAGCAAAGCAAGGTTTATCGACCAATAGCAAAGTGATCATACAAAGCTTCCGATGAGGGAGGGGACCCCAGAGGATTGCCCAACACTCACTATCTTCTGTTTCTCTTATTTAGTCACCACTTGTGAAACCACTAAAGATCATACATGCAGGTAATAATTTTTATTCTATTTTTTATGTAGTTCATGGCCTTTGCTAATAAACATGCTTCAAAATTTTGTAACTAAAGAGATTAAAAAAGGAGCCATACAACGAAACTTGGAATTCATTCGGCTGGAGTGACCCATATGCTGCTAAACTATCAGAGATTAATTTTGATTTTCTGTACTGTGGAAGAACGGGCAACACCAAATCTGGCCTTACTTTACAGAACTACCTGGGCAGGAGCATTCAAGACCTGACAGACATTAGCCTGGATCTGACTTCATGTCATTTCTCCCACAGTTTGTCACTTCTATTCAACCTAATAAAATTCCTCCTCTCAAAAAAAAAAAAGAAAAAAGAAAAGTCAAGAGTTGTTATATCTAGAGGATCTAGAGAAGCTCCCACCCCACCCTGGGACGTTCTCGTAAGGCCGAAGAATGAATAAAGATTCAATCGGATTGACAAACATTATGTACTTCACTCTAAGCTAAGTGATGCACGTGTATTCTTAGGAAGAAATAAAGAACACTGGACGACTTAGTTTTCACATGGTGGGCATACTGCAGTCGCCCAAAGGAATTACTAAGTTGAGTGTGCGTTGACATTGAATATGCATTTTGTTAAGCTCACAGTCATGTCTTGTTCCACTGGAAAACTTCCCTGTGCCTCACAAATTCAGGATGGCCAGATGTGAGGTGAGTACCTCAGGGTTCCTTTAGACCCGTTTGGCTCCTGGACTCCCCCTCTATGCAGGCCACTTTGACTCCTTAGACCAGTCAGTTCTTCAGGCTAAATGTGAGGAAGGCTCCAAATATCTTTTCTATTCCTTCTCAATGCACCTGTGTACTGACAGTCTTAGAAATAACCTTGCTAAGGTTAACATGTACTTGCTAGATGATCTGTATGTAACCTAACAAATCATTATAAAGAAATATTAAAACTTAAAACTCAACCACGCAAGTTATTTATAATATAGTCAGGTACACAAAGCAAAAGACTAGTTTAAATACCTTAAGTATAGGGCAATACATAATTAATTCTCAAATGAGTGGCATAGATGATGTGTACTATGATTCCAAAGGAGGGAACAAGGTAAGGAATTATTTGGGGATATTAATGCTTTTTCAAAAATATCCAAACTTGTAAAATAAGAGTAACATTTATCACCTTTTTAACATTCCGATTAAGGTTAAAACATCTCTAAATTATAATTTTTTTCCCACAAACCAACCAGTTACAAAGGGAAAATGTTCTCATTCTGTCTCTATAACCTGTTATCAACTGGCTATATGGCTAATCCATTTTAAAATCTGAACTGTGACTTAAATCCGTAAGAACTGACAGTCAGTAGTACCAAGCTTCATCTTTGATATCTAGTGATGCAGCCATTTGCCACCCAGCTTTTACTATCACTTCAAAGGACTAATAATGAGAAAATGTTGGGACACATTTCTCTCTCTCCTAGCACACAAGCAGATAGAACACTGGACGACTTAGTTTTCTGGGGAAGGATTTTTTTTTTCACTTATCAACTGTGGAAAACAACTATCTGTGTATAGCAGTTAGTTCTAGATAGCAATAACAAGACTCAGTGTCAAAGGAATTTCTAATCCTTGAGGAAACAGCTCATTTAAATGGTCAGTTAGAGGAATTATTTGTGTTTTTGTAGATAACTAGCTTCTGTTTCTACCTTTTTGATTTGTCTCTGGGGATCATTAGAGAAGCCTTTTGGAGAAATCATCCTTCATACCTCCTTTGTGACCTTTGAATGTCACCACACAGCTAGCATCTTCAGCTGACCAGATCTTCAGCTGGGCATCCATTCCCCCACTCAGAACCACAAGGCCTGATGGGAAAAACCTGCAACAATTCACATCAAACACATGTCCTTCCAATACTCTCTGGAAAAACAAAAGAAAATTCCATGCTAGTTCTCTTGTCCATCCCCTGATATTCTCTTACCTGTCATATCTTTGGTCCCTTAAATATCTACATGCTAGGTTTTAAAACTATGGAGGTCCAAAAGGATCTCTTTAGCTCATCTGTATACCAGGTAGTGTTCTAAGAGCTACTTACTCCCTTTTGTGTAGCTCTGGCTACAGATGTTATGGATTTGAACTCCAAGGTTCTCACAGCCTCCTTAAGTCTAGTACTACATATAAGGAGCTAAGGAGGCTTGAGGACTCTTTTACTCACCTCTTCTTAAAATCCTCTGTGTAAGTTGGAGGGGCTCAGCCATATAATCAGTACAATAGCCTACCTAATCTGTTAGCTGATCACTGAAGGCAGTTCATACCAAGAGACCACCCACTTAGACATTCACTGGCCTGGTTTCTCCACTGTTTCAGCCCCAATCTGTTCCGGCAAATCACCAAGATTGAGGATGGTTCTGAGATTAACAAATGGGAGAACAAAGATCAATTGAAGTGTGGTGGTCCTATAAATTTAGAATGCACCACTCTTCTTTCTGTGACCCAGTCTAACGCTTCCCAGACCACCCTTCATGTATAAGACCCTAAAAGCAAATCCAAAGCCTTTACTCTGAGCTCGCCACTGGAAGCCTGCCAGATCTTCATGCTTCCATCAGTACTAGAAGACACACCAAGGCCGCCTCCACTGGAAATGTCCAGGCATGTTATCTGTTCAAAAGACAAAATAACTGCTGTTATAAATAATGAAATGCTCTTTTTTCCCTGAAATATGTTAAAGATCTCCCCTGTTTCACACTCCTCCAAGACTTCTTCAAGCCTATGCTTCCCAGCACCAAGGACATGTGTTTTCACCTGAAGATTGAGGTGTCATCACCTATCTCCTAACAAGGCTAGCGCCAACATCTTTTATTTCTCAAAACAAAAAGATGTTCTTGTAATAAACTATAGTCTCCGGCTTCAACTATAAAGTTTTTACTATCCCCGTATCATTTCCATCTTTTGCTATTTTTTTAAATTCTTTTTTAAGATTTTATTTATTTGACACAGAGAGAGAGAGAGAGAGCACAAGCAGGGGGAGCAGCAAGCAGAGGGAGAGGGAGAAGTAGGCTCCCGGCGGTGGAGCAGGGAGCCCGATGTGGGGCTCGATCCCAGGACCCTGGGATCATAACCTGAGCCGAAGGCAGACACTTAACCGACTGAGGGACCCAGGCACCCCTCTTTTGATATTTTAAAACAAGAGACAGTCAACTAAAATGCACCAGAAGGATTCAAGGAAAAGCAAAGATGTTTCCAATTTACTACTTCACATTCCCTCTATAAAATCCTAATTGTGTGTATGTGTGTATTTTAGAATAAGTAACAAAAAATTCTGATTAATTTATGCAGTTTCAACATTAGCAATCACTTCATGCATAAGCAACGATCATACACATGCATACATACATACCCTTTTTATTAAAAAACACCCAGCTGCAAATATTCCAGAAATGGAGGACTGAGATACATAATCCCAGACATATTCCCGGCAACTAAGGGAAAAGTAGGGTAGGCTTTAATTATCCAATCTTCCATTTTTCTTTTTTCTATGCCAGTTGAACCATAATGAGTAAGTTCAGCAAGAACTAAAGGGACATATCTGTCACCTCTAATAACTTCTACGACTATTTCTTCCTTATTTTGGTTCCTCAGAATAAAAGTACTATCTTTTTTTTTTTAAGATTTATTTATTTATTTTAGAAAGAGAGCACTCGCGTGCGCAGGGGAAGAGGCAGAGAGAGAGAAAATCCTCATGCAGACTCCCTGCTGAGCGTGGAGCCTGATGTGAGCTTGATCTCACGACCTGAGCCATAACCAAGAGTCGGATGTTTAGGCAACTGAACCACCCAGGTGTCCCAGAAAAGAAGTACTATTAACTTAATTGTGGATTCTTTAATTTTAAGGATTATGACAAAAATTAACCTTTATATCATGTTTTGGCATTTAGAAACCATTTCCAAATAACATTATATCATTTGATTTTCATAATAATCCCATTCTGCTCCTAGCTTCCCACTGCTGGGTATTGGTGACTCGGAGGTAAATCTGACATAGCCCTGCCTTCACATTCTTAGTACAGGAGTACCCATCTCTCAGATCTTTCTTCTCCAAACTACTGCTACTATCCTTAAACCGGCCTTAAGCCTGAATACTAGCATCATCAATTAACTTTTCAATTCTATGTCTGGCTCCCCAACTACATGACAAGCTCTGTAAGTGTCAGGACAATGTCCTGCACTTTTTTTTTTTTGAAAGATTTTATTTTTAAGTAATCTCTACACCCAACACAGGGCTCAAACTTACAACCCCAAGATCAAGAGCCGCATGCTCTACCGACTAAGCCAGCCATGTGCCCCTGTCCAGCACTTTCTTAACACAACCACAGGCTACGTACATAGTAACTACTCCACAAATAACAAACAATAGCAGTTTGGTAATAAGAATGAAGTACCTTAACAACACTAGGTAGGTGAGTAAAGCCATCTGACCCATATCAATAAGAGCAACTACTGTCCTCATTTGCAGGACCCCAGAAACAACACATTTAAACACTCTCCTACTCACGCTGAAGTAGTTTTAATCCCTAAAGCAACAGAGCTCAACCTCTTTCCTGACGCAGGTGCTATCTACTCAACTGCCAGCTAGGCATCTACCTTTGGCTTTATAGTGGTCACCTCAAACTTACCATGTTCAAAACACAACTCTCATTTCCCCCAGCTTCACACCAATACAACTACTTGACCTCAATCAGTAAATGGCAACATAATTTATCCACTTCTTTGAAAATTCTGGAATGATCCCAACTCATTTTCTCTCACCTTTCACATCCAAGTCATTAGCAAATCCTGTCTGGTCCCACAACCCAAGAATGTAGGTGCTACACAACAGTTTTATTCATTGCTATAGTCCCAGTGCCCAGAGTACCTGGATTATAGTAGGTGATTAATAAATGGATAGGTCTACCTAATAATGAACTCAAATAAGAGAAAATGAGAATAAGAAATAGAAAAGGGGCACAATTAGGGCACCTGGGTGGCTCAGTCGGTTAAGCATCTGCCTTTGGCTCAGGTCATGATCCCAGGGTCTGGGGATAGAGTCCTGTGTCAGGCTCCCTGCTCAGCAGGGAGTCTGCTTCTCCCTCTGCCCCTCCTACCTGCTTACGCTCTCTCTTGCTCTATCTCTCAAATAAATAAAATCCTTTTAAAAAGGGCACAATTAATAATTTTTTTTAAATGACCTACTTCTCTCAACTATACTCAAATAAAAATAAGTAAATTTGGGGCACCTGACTGGCTCTGTTGATAGAGCATGTGACTCTTGATCTCAGGGCTGTGAGTTCAAGCTCCATGTTGGGCATAGAGCTTACTTTAAAAAAAAAAGTAAATTTAATTTAATTTAAAAATCTTGTATATGTATTATATACTGTATTCTTAAAATAAAGTAAGCTGGAGAAAAGAAAAAAAAATGACCTATTTCTCAAAAGGTTTTCCCAATTCTGCCAAAAAGTTTATCACTTCCTCCCTAGTAGTCTTCAGCACTATGTTCATATATTGTAGTGGTTGTCAACCAGGGGCAAATTAGCTCATCACATTTGGTGATGTCTGGAAACATGTTTAGTTGTCACAATTGGGGAACAGTCCCCTACAATAAAGAATTATCCAGCTCAAAATGTCAATAGCGCCATGGTTAAGAAATTTTGATGTATTCTATTGTATCCTCTCAGTTAATATATTGTCCCTGGAGGGGACAGAGATATTGTTACCTTAGCTGTTTTACATATCTTTGGAGTCCTAGTTCCTATATCTAAAAAATAATTAAATCTGAACTATGCAGTTCTTCCAAAGTGACAAAACACTGAAGAGTAGATTGTAGGCCATACCAGCTATCTCCTTTCTCCAAACTTTTAAAAAAGAAGAAAGGAAACTAACATTTATTGAATAGCTATTATATACCAGACATGTAACAGACACTACCCTCATATAATACCCTCAAAAATCTATTAAGATAGGGGCACCTGGGTGGCTGAGTCGTTAAGCGTCTGCCTTCAGCTCAGGTCATGATTTCAGGGTCCTGGGATTGAGCCCCGCATTGGGCTCTCTGCTCAGTGGAAAGCCTGCTTCTCCCTCTCCCACTCCCCCTGCTTGTGTTCCCTCTCTCGCTGTGTCTCTCTCTGTCAAATAAATAATAAAATCTTTTTTAAAAATCTATTAAGATAGGAATTATTTCTATTTTTCAGTTGAGAAATCTGAGGTTTAAGAAGTGATTAAGTAATATCCCCAAGGTGACACAACAGAGCCAGGATGCAAACCTAGGTCAGAATTTAAAGCTAAAGATCCATTTCTTAGTTCCAGCAAAAAAACAGATCAATGGGATTATCCTAATTATTGGATAAATATGACAATTCAAGAGAGCGAGATATGGATGGATTACTTTATAGTGCCTTGATATGCTAATCATTTCAAAAATAATTAAGTTACATCCCTACTTTAAACCAAGTAACAAAGTTTGAAATGTAGAAAAATAAAACATAAAAATTCAAAGAAAATACTATATTTATAATTTTATTTAACACATATCATGCTTACTATGTTTCAGATCAAATTCTGTTTCAATCCTTGTAACAACCCCATGAGATACTACTTTTACCCCTATTTTACAAATAAGAATCTGTGACATAGAGGGTAAGTACCTGGCCTAAGAGCACAGCAAGAGGCAGAACCGAAATTCAAATCCAAAGAGTCAAATCCAATGAGTCTATCACTAGAGTCTGTGCTCTTATCCATTATGCTGTGCACCTGGTGGCTCTTTCAGTTAAGTGACTCTTGATTTCGGCTCAGGCCATGATCTCAGGGTTCTGAGACTGAGCCCTCCATCAGGCTCCGTGCTGGGCGTGGAGCCTGCTTAAGATTCTCTCTCTCTCTCTCCCTCTACCCCTCCTCCACCCCTCTCCCTCCCTAAAAAAAAAAAAAAGTGAAAATATATATATATATAAAATCATGGACTACCCTAAGCAGGACCCCAAAAGTAGTTACCATAAAGGAATAAACCGATGGGCTTTATCATCTACAAATAGACCAAAATAACACCCATAATCTAGTGTATTGCTATGTTCTCTTCACCTGTCTGATCATACTCTTTTTTTCTTCTTCTTTTTCTTTCGTTTAAGTCTTTTTAAGTTTTCATAGTTACAGTTATATTCTATCCTTTCAATGTATTTAATTTTATTTTTGTATATATATGAGGGTTTGTTTTTTGGGTTTTTTTTTGAAACTAAATGTTACAATTTATTCCATCTTCATGATTATAGACATTACAGGGCAGGGTGGGTACACAAGGTATATAAAACAAACTCTTCTCCCATTTAACCAGATGCAGCATTTTGGCAGTTTTATGATAATACAGGTTGGCTTAATTAATTGACTTGGGCAGAAAGCTGGCAACAGCAAATGTTTGCAATTTAGGATTTTCCTCCATTGTTACTCCAAGGATCTTAATTCCTAAACTACACTATGAGCTCTGAAATGGTGTACAAAGCAACATTCAAGCTTTCACATATTAATCAGAATCTAACACCTCTTCTTAAGGTAGGGAATTCTTAAAGCTGTCTTCCTCTTGGCTAACCCAGTCCACCAACAATCTTAAAAATTATCATATAAAAATAAAACTGTTCT